GGACACATTGAGCTTGTTGCCATCTTCTTTGGAGAGGATGTTTGGAGGTTGGTGCCTATGGTGGTACATGTTGAGCGATGACATCTCCAGTGCTTGAATCCCAAGACATATACTGTCGCCCATGAGATGGTCAGTTCAACTAGGATGTATTTGTTGGAACGCAGATTCATATCGTTCAAGGACCTTGTAAGTGTGAAGTCAGTTACAGAACCTTTTTCAGGATTTCGGTTTGCTATGGGGGGAGTTTGACATGGCTGGCTCATAATGGAACCATCAAGTTGAATGCTATGAACGGCAAGTACTTGAGAATGAGTTCAAGTTCTCCCGGACAAAGCACCCTGTCCAGTGAACCGTGTCCATTTCATGAAGGAAGCCACCTTGGCGAATCTGTTGCCAAGAAAGCTGATGAGAAGGCCTGTTGCTTGAAGGACCAGTGTGTATATGGGTTGTGGCGCTGGAGATCAGAGTCCGAAGCGGGGGCAATTAACACTGAGAGACTGGTTAATGTATTTAACTAATGAAAAATTGATCGCCATACTGGATGTCCTTGCAACATGGCATACGGTCCTCTTCTGCTTGCGGCCCTTCTACGAGCTTTTACATTGTGTCTTGAGCAGACGTCGTACTCTTGGTGCTCGATTCATTCCGATGACGCCTTGTCACCTGTACTCATGGCCATATCTTTGATCCCGTTCATCGCCTCCCCCGCCTTGCCTGATACAGCGTCTCCAGCCTTGGAGGCCTTGGCGGCGGCATTGTGAAGTGACTCCTTCGCAACATCTTGAGCTTGACCTGCCTCGTCACCCACAAAGGATGCAGCGGCCATGCTTGCTTCAGTGGTGGTCTTCATGGCCTTCTCCTGGGTTTTGGCACCGGCTTGGAGAGTTTTCTCGGCTGCGCGTTTTGTTGCACCAGCTACGCTATCTGCCAATTCGGAGCCTCGCTCCTTGGCAGCTTGCTGCGCTCCGGAAGCAGCATCACCAACGAACGTTGCGGCGTATGAAGAGAATGTAATCTGCTACCGCTTCAATGGATTGACGGCTTGTGTGCATCGTTTGCGTGTTTTTTGTTTGAACGGAGAAAGATCGAGTTGTTGTGGCAGAGAGCAGCATGATCAAACACGGGACTTGTTTGATGGTTCGTTGGGCTTGGTTACTCATGTTCGGTTATTTTTGCTAGTTGTACTGTAACTCTTGGGTTCCGATAACCTTTCGACTTTGCTTTTTGTGTCAGGTCTGCAAACCACGAGCTCAGCACCAGGTACCAGGGGGTGTTCCGTATCGTAGCTTTTGGGTGTTCCGGTAAACGCAACGAAGGAAACTCGGAGATTTTCCCTTTCGTTGCTGGAAATCGATTGAACCGTTACGGTCTGTATCTGCAGGCTTATTGTCAATCTCGACCGAACGTACCGTACATGTACAAAACAATACTGAATACACTGTAGCAAGAACGAATCTTCCTGATGTGAATCTCCAACCCATTTTCATTTTGCAAAATACGTGTTGTTGAGGACGACCAAGTCACACCCTCCTTGGAAACCGCCCAGTAGCTAGCTTGCCCAGATCTTGAACTGAGGGTCCCTTGTGCCCGCTCCATCCCCCCCTTTGTCTGGTGCCCAACACCGGTATTCAGGCTCTTAGGCGCCCTTGTCAAGTAGCAGTTAAACTGGCTTATGGGTTACCGTACTCTCGCTTTAACTGCCAAGAAGACACAACAGAATCCAAAGCAACCGTGGACATGAACGACACCTCCACCGCGAAGCTGGGAGAGGCCTACTCCAACGACAGGAAGCCAGGGTCTCACTACATAGTAGGGGTCTTCCTTGGCACCTATAGCATTGGATTTCTACTCTTGATTGCGATTCGGATTCGTCGCTTAATTCTCCAGAGGAGCAAGGATGTTATTGCCGACTTTATGCATCAACACGTTCCTGAACAAAACCATCAATTCTTGCACATCCTCTCGAAAGGCTTGGTCTTTGCTACTAGCTTTGGAATGATCTACTCCGGACTGGGTGCTCGTTATTTGAATCATGATTTGCATCCCGATTGGGGATTTTTCCATTACAAGACGCACTTGACGTTGATTTTCTTGTTTCTATTTGCGGGTTTTGCCGGTGTCTTGGAATCCCACGGATACTTGCCCAAGGACAGCTTGCGAGCCAGTTTTACGGTGGGTCTCTGGGGAGAGGCACTGCTGTGGTACGATCATGCTCTCATGAAAGATGTACTCATCGATATGCGTCTCCATGAATATTTGGCATTGACATGCGCCTTTCCAGCCCTCGTCATGACAATCAGCTTGATCCTGACGACGATGAAGAGTAGCAACGTCACACTTTCGTTTCTAGTCTTTTTGGGATCCAATTTGGCGCTGCTGTGGCATTCAATATGGTTTATTACGGTTGGGGTACACCTCTCCGGGATGCCCATTCCCAACACGGGTACGGCCACCGATTTGCTCGTCATTCAGGCAGTACTTCTCATATTTGGGTGTCAGGTGGTGACTGCGCTCATGGTGAGGTTGCAACGACGAATAAACCCTCAATCTGCACAGGAAAGCTATGCTCTTGTTTCTGTTTCAGGCAAGGCCGACGAGGACGAAGAAACAGCAGAACAACAATCCTCTGGGTTTTCCTAGTTAGCGAGACAAGCAAGATGTGAACACCCAAAATTACACATGTGCCAGCACAGCACCAGTGCTGGACCACTTGCTAGCTTGAGAAGATGCAAATGGGCCAACCCATCGGACTGATTGTCGCGACTATTGATGCGAGAGCGAGGCTGTGTGTGGAGCTTGATGTCCCAAAAGACATTCAGTTTGATCCAAATTTGCCAGTGCAGCGTGCACTTTGCAAAAACCTCGTGATCTATTATTTTGTAACGACTGAGTCACTAGTCTATCCTTTTTCACGAGGAGCCGTCCGTACCGTAAGGACTCTATGTATCTTCGTCCCACACCGTGGCTGCTATAGTTCCTCTTTGTGCTACCCCAAAATATCAAGCAGTTGGTTGGACACAAAATGGGGGCGATCTGCCTTCTTGCCAGCTTAGGAAATCTTACATTCGTTGCCTCATCCACACCTCTAATTGAATCATCGTTCGGTCGGAAGCATTCGCAGGACCCAAGGACGGAGAGATTCTTGGAAGCTTGTAATCATGGTACGCCCAACCATTGGACATTGGATAGCGTAGATGCATGGACACCTTTGAAGAGGAGATCTCCAATCTTCCAACATGAACATCTAGTAGATGGGGTCTCCGGCACAAAATCCGGGCCTCGAGCAAAAGTGAATGAGTGGGTCCTCCTCAACAAGCGGAAGCCTTTTTCCCTTTTCTCCTCCCTAAATCCATTTCTTAGAGAAAGTTCTGTCGATTTATTTAAGAGGAGCACTGGATCCGATCTTTCGCATTCATTTCGAGAAAGAGAAAAAGTAAGTGAGAATAATGAAGAAGGCATGGAGATATGGAGATGGTCACAATGGCATCATTAGGAAGATCGAGAATGCTCTTCACTCTTGGCCATCCCCGCAAGAACACACGCACCAAACGATCGAAGCGGGATCCTTTGCGTTGCCTTATCTAAGTTGTCTTGGCCAAGCATTTATCAGAACCATAGAAAATTAAAAACAAAGACCATGCTCACCCGTCCCAAGCAGCTCCTCACAACGTTTCTCGTGCTGTCCCTCCTTCGTAAGGTGGATGCATGTTCGTTTTCTCTTGATTTCGCCTCTGGCACCACCCTGATCACGGCTGGTTTGGAAAACTTCAACGTTGCTCCTGGTGCCTCCACTACTTGTGTTGTATCTTGCGCGAGTGGGAGTGGAGCCACGTTGTACCTCAAGTATGGAGGTTATGCAAGTGTTCTCGATCATGATGGACAGGGGTTTGCGGCTACGGTACGCCAACTCACACTTGATTTCTATAGATTCCAGAAGTTTGTTTGTTTTTGTTTCGAATTCTTACTGACATAATTTGTTCTTAGACTTGTGGTGTTAGCACTGCAATCGCCAGCTCCTCGGAAGAGTATACTCTTGGATGGTCGCTCAATGTTGCCAGCGCCTACACTGGCTTGAAACTGGAGTGTTCCTGTACTGCGGCTGGAGATGGAGATGATCGATTCTTGGGCGGCGCGTGCTTTTCAAGCTCAGCTACAGTGCAGGTCCTTGACAAGGGTAGTGTTCCAATGAAGGATGTAGCTGTGGGTGATCGAGTGCTCACTGGTGAGAACCGTTACCAGCCAATCTATAGCTTTGGGCACAAGGAACAGGCCACCGAGCAACAGTTCTTGCAAATTCACACAGACTTGGGTACTGCTCCCGTGGAGATGACAGCGGACCACCTGGTCTTTGTGGTCAAGGGCAGTGGCACGCAGGAAGCTGTACGCGCCGACAGTGTCCGGGTGGGCGATCGTCTTGCCACGGCGGCAGAGTCTTCCTCCCTTGGGCATCTCGTGACAAAGGTTTCCTCTATTCAAAAGAGAGGACTCTACATGCCACTCACGTCTGACGGGACAATCGTTGTGGACGGTATCAAGACGTCTAGTTACGTGTCAATTCAAGACCAAAGCCCCACCTTCGTTTCACTTCGGGCATATGTTGGAAACTTTTCAGAACAAAGAATCTTCCACTGGTGGTTGTCTCCATTGAGGATGCTGTGCATGGGGGTATCATCCAAGTTCTGCATTCCAGATGACTCCCGAGCTGATCAAGACATATTGAGCTGGCTGCAGATTGGTAGGAAAGTTCTTTTGTTTGGAGATCAGCAAAGCTTCGTTGTGCAGGTGTTTGCGTTGGCTGCCCCGATTGCTGTCCTGTTTGGGTTCTTCAACCTTGTCGAGCTGGTCTTTGGGCCGGCGCTGGCTCCAACGATGCTGGCTGTGATCGGAACATGCATGGCTTGGTTTGTCACTAGGAGGAGGACCGGGTCTCGTGCAGAAAAGAAGAAGAAACTGGCGTGAACTCCTAACATAGGCGAGCGTAAATGGTTGAAGCAAGACAGCAGTTGCTCTCGGTTTATGAATACCAACGACGGAATATCCACCAGCGAACTGACCGTTCTTGTTTCTTCGCGATTCCACATGCTCACATGTGTCTGCAAACTCAATACACTACGTACTGACACGAAAGAAGTGTACGTCTACACAACTAGCTAGGAGGCTGCCTCAAGTCTAAATAACATGCCGTCATCGAGCAGCATTAACTTGCCATGTCTAGGCCTCAGCATTTTCGCCGGCAACGGCTGTGACTGCGCGTTTCAGAACCTCCATGGAAAGAGGTGATCCACGTTCTCGAGCCAAAGCACGGGCAAGGACGATGGAGTTCTTGATTTGTCGTCCATTCAACGTGTAGCCCGTCGAAAGTGCCTTGTAGTCCTCATCGGAGAAGTCCATCCTGTATTTGGATGCGCGCCTTGGAACTTTGGCAATGCGATCAGGGACAGAACCTGTCTCGGGATCGACTGGCTGGGCCGGAACCAACTCTACCAGGTTCTTCCAAACCTTGGAACGCCCATCTGCGTCCAGAGGTGGATACTGAAGCATCACTGTGATACGTGAGGCAATGGCAGGATCGATGGCCGAAGCGGGCCTGTTGGAGCTCAGGAAGAGGCATCCCGAGTAGTATTCTAGCAATCGCAACATAACACACACCAAGGCATTTCGTTGAATCTCAGTGCTGCGAGAGCAACGCAGAATGAGAGACTATTTCTAGTGGAGTGTGACCGTGACGAGCAGCAATCCGATTGTCAAGCTTACCTCGAGCGAACCTCCAGGAAGACATCCGCTTCGTCGAGCAGCACAAGCGCATCCCATGTCTGACACAGCTCCAACACGGATCCAAGAGTCTTTTCCACCTCGGCAGCCGTAATACCAAGGTCGCCTGCTGTCACAATGTAGAGCGCTGTTATTGCAAGGGAACAAAGTTAGCGAACCGGAAATCGCTTCTTGATCGAAGGATGCAATCACATCGCAGAACTTACGCTTCTTCAAGAGTTCGGCAATGGCTTCTGCCGTCAATGTCTTTCCAACTCCAGCAGGACCTTGCAATAGGAAAATCGAGGCACCGCCCTTGTTCGCAACAACATCCAATTCCACGTCGTCTTCTCCGTCATCGTCACCATCATCAAACTCATTCAATTCCGCCTCCTCGTCCCATCTGCCGGCACTGCCACCCGCATTCCGTGCCACGGCACGAATCAGTTCTTTCTTATCCTCTGCCAAGACGAGTTGATCAAATGCCTGTTCCTGAAATTTGATGTAACCACAATTTCCACAACTCCCTTCTCCTCCTAATCCTCCCAACTCGACACCCATCTTTCGCATACTGGGTCGTTTGACCATTCGTCCAGCCCCATGTTCATGGACACTGGAATCCTTCAAGGCGGCAGCAGCCGGTGGCTTGGGCATGCCCAACAAGAGTTTGCCCCAGACACGGGCCGTAAAGGAGAATCCCGTCAACATGGGCCAGGATTGCCACAGCAGGGGTCGATCGGAATCACCCTGTTCTTCCAATTCCCCCATTTGCAATTTCTTTTTCTTGCTCATGTCATTGGCATGAAACCCGGGCAAAACGCACGTCCGAAAGGGTACGGCCACACCGGTTCGTTTGCTCTGTTCAAAGAGTTTGATGGCTTCCTTGACGGTATCGCTCATTCCATCGCTGGTTCCACGAACAGGCATGTGTCCTTCGAGAATGCCGCGTTTGACGTCGACCATGACACGGCCACCCTTGGACAATGGTCGTACCGCATTGTTGGACCAGCCTCCTCCAATAATGGGGAAAAAGCTGTTGGGATAATACTCCAAGTAATGATTGTGTGTAGCCACCGAGGCATAGAATTCTCCCCGTTGTTGCAGTCGTTGCAGTAGAACACTGTCTTCTCGATTGGAGACATCTAGTTTGCGATGTGTGAGATCCTTCAAGGGGACATTTCTGGTGGGATCATGAAATTCTGGATACACGTCGGAAGCCGCCACAACGACCAATTCATCTCCCACACTGATAACGAATTCAAGAACGAGTACGAATCGTCGTTTCATTTTGTTGGTGGCCTTGTTGAGTTCTTCGACGTACCAGGATTGGACAATGGAACATCCCAACGGAGATCCTTCCATGCCTTCTGGAAAACACAAGACTTTGGATCCCGGACAAAACAATTCTCCCAAACCGGGATAAAACGAGACGGATTGAGATTCCTTAATTTCCTCTCGCGCCTGTTGCAACATGGGATTGAGACGTTCCACTTCTTGCAAAAAGTCATCCAGTCCATCCACTTGGATTTGTGGAATTTTGTAGGGATTGTCATCATTGCCGGTCGTTGTTTTGGTATCCAAAGCCGCGGCCACTTGTCCGGCTCGCAACAGAATGAGTTCGGATACCTTTTGAAAGACGCCACAATTGGAGACCAATTCCATGAATCGAATCTTTCCCAATTCGTCTTCTTCGAGTGCATGCGACGTGGCGGTGGGACTGAGTCGATGCCAGAGCAAACGATTAATGGTTTCGCATTCTCGTTGCAATGCTCGCAAGACGTCCAATTTGAGGAGGGTGCGACGCATCAAGATGGGTTCCTTTTTGGCCAGTGTATAATCGCACATGCGATAAACGCAGGGGGCCAAGGGAACCAAAATATCCGTGTCGGGATTCCCGTGAGCATCGGTCGTGAGCAGCGGAGTGATCTTGTTCAAATCCATCAAGAAGGATTCCAACGATTCGTCGTAATGAAAGAGTTTGCCCGGAGGGCATGTGCGTTGTTCGGGTTTCTTCTTGGGTGGAGCTGCTGCTGCTTTGGGAGGTTGTCCTGCTTGTCGCTTTTGCAAATTGGCCATCAAGGCGGCGGCACCCGGGGGAGCAGGAGCTTCTCGATTGAGATCTGCGGCGAGTTCATCATTCTTCTTCGGGCCTGCGGATTTGGCTTGAAGGGCCGCCATCAAAGCGGCAGGTGGTGGAGGTGGCATCGTGTTGGTTGGGTGGCTACAGCACTAACTACCAGTACTTGCTTTCTTCACTGATTTCCTGACCACAACACGCAGATTGAATTCCAAAGAAAGTATGACAAAAGGAAGCGGTCTAGCTATAGAAGGTTGCGATCTTGGATTGCTTGGAAAGATCTTTTGGATCTTTTGTCGTTGGATGTGTCTTTTTGAGCCGTTTCGTGACTGTCAACGAAGACACAAACATCAGGGAGCGCCTTTGCAGCTTATACCGGCTTAAAACCAATGCCTCCTCTTCTTTCAAGTCAAATGCGACGTCCTTCACCAAAGATGGATGGCACCTGATGAAGACAACGATGGCAATGGATTCTGACAAGCTACTAATCCTTGAGGAGACCGAAGGGTCCAGTCAAGATGATACGATTGAGTTGGTGCCATTATCTTCCGCCTCCGAGTTGTTGGATCATAGTGAATCCCAACTAGCCGCACTGCAACGGGCTCAAGACGAGTTCCAGCAAGCTTATAATCATGCACCACAGTATGTCGCCCGTGCTCCAGGACGCGTCAATCTGATTGGAGAGCATATCGACTACAATGGATTTGGTGTCCTTCCCATGGCACTGCAGCAGAGTGTCTTTTGTGCCGTCTCTTGTCGACAGAGTCAACTAGCGACTACCACTACTGATACAACAGCAGAGTCCACACTGGAGTTGCACATTCAGAGTACCAGCCCCCAGGCTCCTCCCTGTCGTGTCCAATACAACGTGTCGGAAATCCTGGACAGATTGTCACAGGCGGAGAGCAGCAGCAATGATCCACCCTTTTTAAAGACTCAAGAAGAAAATTTTCCAGATTGGTCTCATTACGTTCTTTGCGCTATTTTTGGAATCCTTCAACAACTACAAGAAACACATCCCACACAGTTGACTGCCAAATTACATCCACAACACACGACCATTTGCTTCCTCATTCACGGAACCGTCCCACAAGGTGCCGGGGTCAGCAGTTCCTCTGCGTTGGTCGTTGCCTCGGCCATGGCCACTGTCACTGCACTATTATCATCCAATAATAGTAGTACTAGCAGTGCTATCACCAAGACACAAATGGCGGCTCTGTGTGCCCGATGCGAACGATGGGTCGGAACCGAAGGGGGTGGCATGGATCAAGCCATTTCCATCTTTGGCCGTCTGCAATACATTCAATTCCAACCTACATTGGCGCACGCATCCGTCTCTTCTTTGCCATTGTTATGGGTGGTCTGTCACAGTCTGCAAGAATCTCATAAACGAGTGGATGCCGCGCTCTATTTCAACAAACGAGTGGTGGAATGCAAAGTGGCGTGTCGGTGGTTGGCGCACACAATCGTAAAAAAGAACGACAATGATACATATCCCACATTGCTGTGGGAGTTGGTACGGCAAAGCAACCTCTCCTTCTCCGAGTTGGAAGCAGTGACGAAAGAGAAAATCCCCGAAACAGTCACTCGAGCCGAACTAGAAAGATTTGTCTTGGGGGCTACCACCGAGGAACACAACAATGCACTCGTTGCGCAATTAGCCTCCCAACTGGGAATTGCCCGTCCAGCTGGTATGGAAGTCCTGAAGGTGGCCGAATCCTATTCGGTTCGCGATCGTCTCCTTCATGTTCTTTCCGAGGCACGTCGCGTGCAAGCATTCCGTTCTCTCTGTGGTGGACCAGCCGACAACAACGCTAACAATAATAAGAAAGATGCGGAAAGGCAGGTGGGAACGCTACTGAATCAGAGCCACGCGAGCTGTTCGGATTGGTACCAGTGCTCGTCTCGCCAGCTGGACCAACTTCAACATACCTGCCAACAAGCTCCTGGAGCTCTTGGATCTCGCATGACGGGGGCCGGATGGGGTGGGTGTGTCGTTGCCTTGGTGTCAAGTAACCAAGTCGATGAATTTTGTCAATTTGTGAGAACCAACTACTATGCGGATATCCCCGACGATGACAAGCCCACCAATGAGTCTGATTACATGTTTGTGACCCAACCCTCTCCGGGGAGCAATGTGTTTGAAAGTAACTAATAGAATACCGTAGGATAAGAGAAGTTTTAGTTGCCAACCTTTTTTAAATTGGAGGCCTTCTGGGATCAGCCCCGCCTCCGGTAAAGCTGGATGAGCGATTGGATTCGGATGGGGTATCCTAATAATGGACAACTTACTAAACTTGTTCTTGTTCCTAGCTAGCTAGCTATTGCAGCAAGTATATCTGTTTAATAATGGCAGGGTCTAATAATAATCTATCATTGGTTTCAACATAATATGTAGGGAAGGACTGGAAGGGGGAGGGGAAGCTCAAGAAGCCAACAAAGTGTGGTTTGGGAACGAACTCAAATGTACAGCTCGAGAAAAGGCTGAACTTCCCGGGGAGATTCTGACGGTAGGACTTTGCCCTTTTGTCGCTGTTCCTCCCAATATGCTTGAAACTTCTCTCGTTGTTGTCTCAAGGCTTCATCGCGTCTTCGGTCCAGTTCCGGGTTGGTCAGCAACGGGGACACCTTGTAAAGATCTTCTTCTTCCAGCTCGGGAAAGTCTTCATCGTCCTCTTCGTGGGTATCCTCCTTGTCGTCAACTGTGATGAGGAGATTGTTATCCTTCTTCCATTCCCAGATTTTTAACAAAAGGGATCGATCCAAGGAAAAGTTGGAAGGTCTCAAGGGTGCTCGCGTCATGGGACATGTGGCGTTTCCGAACCAAATCCATTCGAGAATTGCAGATCTTTCGTAGCATCGACCGGAGGAAGCATCTCGGTAGGGAAACCTCATGACTTCCAAAGTCAAGGGGCATACGAAATGATCGGGAGGAGTGGGTGTGGATGCCATGTTGGTGTTTCTATTATTGTTGTTTTTATTATTGAAGTTGCTTGGGGTGTTCTGGTTTGTTACTATTCAGGATTGTGAGATTGATAGATTGGTGAGCCCGAGTAGGATTTGCTTCGGTTGCGGTTTTGGATTGTCACTTTGCCACCGTAACTAGCGGTACCAGCTGTACGACTGTACTTGTTCAGGTGCGCAGCAAGTCAGGCTTCAGGCTTTCTCATTCATAGTCCCACTGGGATCAGGCTGGATTCTACGAGCACGATTTACATAGTGCCTACCGGCATTCTCGAAGCCTGACCTGGCAAGTTGGCAATCTTTGTTGGCTCTTCATTCCACATGACCTCTTCCTGGCTTCATCATCAGGCATGGCACATGGACACCTGTACACAGTTTGGAGTGTACCGCAGTTTACATTGAAAGGGCCCGAAATGGCGATTTACACCAAATTCCGATTTATACTTGTGTTTCGATTTTATATTTTGGTTTCGGTTTTATATTTTGGTTTCGATTTTATATTTAGGTTTCGGCTTGATTTCACTAGTTATTTACCATAGTAATTTGGTTTCGGTTTTATATTTTGGTTTCGGTTTTATATTTTGGTTTCGGTTTTATATTTAGGTTTGGAATTGATCAATTTAATTGGATTCTTAAAATCCTGATTTCGGGCCCTTTCAGTGGAAAGCTGGAAAATAATAGTCAAGCTAAAAGTCATGAAGGATTGTGAACGGGGCAGTCAGGTACTAGAGTACCGCTACGGGTAGCTTCCGATAACCGATAGTGGCCAACAGTACGGTAGTCTAGTAACTGTTGACCATCATCGCAACATCACAACTACTCGGATGAACAAGCCTTGAGCGCGCCATAGTGGCTAGCTAGATGGAGTCTAGACGGTTGCCTTTCTGATATGTCTTTTACGTTTACTTCTGGAAGGCACGCGATGGCATCTCCAAGTCACGGTGTTGTAACTTCATAAGACTTAGAGCAATCAACCCCGCCATATACAAAGTCTTTTCTTCGAACAGCCCCAAGAGGGTTTTGGAATGTAGAAAGTGCTCTAACCGAAACAGGATTGTATTGGAGAGGAGGGAGGAGGTCGATGGAATGGTGGCGATGTAAAAGAGCCAAGAGCCTTCTTCTACATGTAGTACTTCTATTCTATGCTACTGCTAATACATACATGCCTGGTACCGGTAGTTGAAATAATGGAGGGAAGCTGTGGGAAGCGCTGTAACGCTGTAACTGTTGTGGACTTCGAGGTTCGAGCAGCCTCATCAGCCTTGTCGAAGCAACAGAAAGCTTCCATGTGGGGACGATGTGGCGGTGGGAAGGAAGGATGCAGGGTCAAAGAAAGCCCTTATGTAAAAGCGATGACAATCGACGATCTCGTTGGCCAGCTATTAATACCGTACCAGGCGGGTCCATGTGGAAGCCGTGGAAGCCTGGGAAAGGTGATGCTTGATGACCAGTGGTACATGTAATAAACACTATCAATCTTTGGCCAGTAGCTGGCTAGCTAGCATATCAAAGCCATTGCCGCTGAAACGTTGGGCCGCACGCAGCAGGTTATTGGCTGACCTCCCGCGCTTTGGGAGGAGTGGAAGCAAGGCAGTGTTATCGAGGGCAACCTCATGCTGTGTGGCTAGAGCTAGCTACACTTTGTAGGTGCCAAGCTGCCGTTGTTTTTAGGTTGCCGCCATGAGCTAGCTAGCTTGACTAGGATGTGTAGGCTTCTTGACGTTTGATACTTGACTGGTCTTGTTCTTTTCTAGCTAGTAGTTGTTGGCTCAGTTGTGAGGCAGTACCGGTAGTGAACTACAGAACAGATGACTTCGCGGTTTTCTTCTATTGGTTGTTCTTAAAAAAGCTATTGAGGCAGTTGCTTCAGCTACTACTACCAACCATCGAGTGATAACAACCAAGTGAGACTGGCTGGTGGGATACGGTCCAAAACGAGCTCTGGCTAGCCAGCTAGAGTGGTGGGGGCTGGAAAGAAAAGAAAAGGATACCGTTTCTGTATAAAAAGCTCCGGGAAGGCCAGAGTGTTGGTGTGCCAGGCAGAGAACCTCTTCAGTTTTAGGGAACACGGGCTGCTGAAAGAGCCATTGACATAGATTCGATTCTTGAGGCCAACCCTGAGCTCCAACCTGACCTGCCACCAAAATACCACGCTACGATGGACCTATTAAATGGCGGGGGGTTTCAGGATGGGCTATTTGACTTAGATGTATAAGTCGCGGTGGTTGGTTCAGGGATGTTGCCCGCTGCAGTTACTGACCACCAGGGTGGCGGATGACATGCAGTGAGGCCCAAATCTCATTCCACCAGGCTAGTAGCTATTGAGCTATTGTTTATATCTAGCTAGATGCCCACCTTTCTGTCCATCGATGACCAGAAACGTCGCTCCACGACTTCAATAGACGCGATCCTGGCTCCCCTCCCAAACTCAAAGCAGCTAGCTAGCCAGGCTACCGTACGGTAGCGTTCGAACGGGCGAGCCTCTCGGGCACTACCTTCGCACTACCTTCGCACTACCTGGATAGGCTTCCCGTGCTCTCTGCGTCGTCAGCCATGCAAACGAATGCTACCTGAACACGGTGGCCAGCCCAAGCAAGAGGCCAAAATCCCAAAATCCGTTCTCAGTCGAAAGGACAACTCTGAAAGGGTGAAAAGCTTGGTGGCGACCGCACTTCAAAGAAGCCCACTGCTCCCCATTGTGCCACCACCGGCACCTACTCGTACCGGTACCTTTGGCGGTGCGTACATCTGCGCCAAGGTCTTAGGATTACTCTACTAGAAAACTAAATGAAATAGCAGGTTCTGTTGCTCAGCTTGAATGTTTCCGATGACGGTAGTTAGGTATTCCCAAGCGGGAGGCCAAGCAATGCAACTCCGCTTGGCTTGAGCGGCACTCTCATCGCCGAACCACCCTCTCCGTTTCGCGTACTGGTTCGAACCTGCGATCTCGCTAGACATACTTGTTGAACTCCAACCCCGCACTCTCAGGCTCGCTGTCGCTGCTGTCGCTGTCCGTTTCCTCTTCAGTGTCGGAATCTTGGGGTTTTTCCCAAACCAACCTGACGGGGCCAACAATGCGATCCACTTCTTCGTCGTCCTCTCCAAGTGCCATGGCGCCGAGTTTTAACACAAGGACGTCATTGGGGCAGTTATTTTGGAAATGCCCCAGTATCTTCGCAATGCAAGCTTCCCGCAGCTCTCTCCGTCTCTTCAAACTCGCAATCTGAAGGGCACGCATCTCAGCCATTTCCTCCATCCTCGTCGCGGCCTTCCTCCATATCATCTCGTCTTTCTCCAAATCTTCGTTCATTCCAGTGAACTTTCCGCCTTCTTTTGTAGGTCCTCGCATGAGAACCTTTTTGGTGTATTTGATGGAAGCCTTCAGTGTCTTGTTTCGTTTGCGCAGATTGATTCTATTATGCACCATCGCTGTGTTGTTCTGGCGGATCTTCCGGTTCTCCCTTCGCAGCGTGTCAATGATTTGTCGGCTTTCCAAAACCTGACGATCCAAGTCGTCGTGCTCCTCCTGGGTGTACCGAACAAGGCCTTTGGTAGCCTGGTCGCGAAACTCGTACTTTGCCCGCTTGAGCTTCTCTTGGACTTTTTTGATTTGGCCAGCCTCGTGATCCTCGACTTCGTATAATCTATTCTGCAGGGCGGCCACAGCCTCTCGGATCCTTTTTACGTCTTCGACGGCTTCCTTTATCTCTTTGTCGCTGCACTCGGCGCCATCTTCGTTATCTTCATAGCAGAGCAGGTAATCTGGAGTATCATCAGTGATGAGGCTTCGCTTGCCTCTCCTGACCAGCCCCGCAATGCGTGCTGCTTCCTTTTCTTTTGCCTTCTTCGCCAACCCTATGGCCGTCTCCTGCTTCCTTCTTCTAGCATCAGCCAGTTGTTGCTGCTTGGCGATCTCAGTTTGGGCGTCTGCCAAGAACTTGGCCTTTTCCTCGTCCTTCCAGTCATCTTCATCTTCATCATCTGAATCTGAATCCTCTTCTTCCTGCTCCTGGTTTTCATCGCGCGACTTTTTATATGGGGCGGCTGCAGCGATGGCCTCCTGCTGCTTCTTGATAGCTTTCTCTCGTGCCATATCTCGTGCCAAAGCTTCTTCTCTTGCTTCAACAGCGAATTCTTGTCTCTGCAACACCTCCAATCGGTCTTCGTCGACTCTCTTGGCACTGCGCCTTTTGGCCATAGCTTCTTCAACAGCAAGCTCCTGGTTCTTTCGTTCCTCGGTCGCTCTGCGTGCCCTTTCTTCTTGATTAGCCCGTCGTTCTGCTATCAAATGCGCTCGTTCCTGCCACTCTGCACGTCTCGCAGCCACTTCTTTTGTAGCGGATTGACTTTTGGTTTTCGCCTCCTCCACCATGAGTTTGTTGACTTCTCTTGCTGCGGCCTTTTCCTCTTCCTTGAGGAGCGTTGCCAGTCTTTTTTCTTCCAGTTCTTTCTCCATCCGAGACTTTGCTTCCTGTCGGGCTTTCTGCACCTCCCGCTGTTCTTCCTTAGCTTGTGTCAGTTTCCTTTCTTCAGCTTCACGTTTCTTCGCTTCCTGCTTTTCATAGAAGGCCTTCATTCGCCTCTCCTGTTTTGATGCAAGGAAGGCAGGAGTGGCCCAGATCGGTTTCTTTGAAGCAGCTTTGGCTTTCCGGTAGGACTTGGCTTTTGTGATAGGTCGGTTGGTTTTAGCCACGATTGCCGCCAAGGCTTCTTCCGTCCTTTTACGTTCTTCCTCGGCTTCCCTTTGCCGCTGTCTTTGCAACTCTTCCTTGCGCTGTCGCTCCTTCACCATCTCTTCCACTTGCAGATTTTTTCGTTCCAACATCTTTTGTTCATAGGCTTCAAAACGCTCAATCATGGCTTCTTCTGCCTGATGGACCAAATTTTCTGTGTCGGCCAATTTGTCATGTTCATCCTTCATTGCTTTGGAAACTCGACGCTGAAAGTTGCGACTGTGCTTGGTATTCTTGCGCCTCATCTCGCGCTTACGACGCCTCTCCTCGAGTTTGGCCTTTGCCTTTGCTTGATCGTCCGCGAATCGTTTGTTCAAATCAGCGGCCCTAGCATCACGCCGTCGTCGCCTTTCTTCTTTCCGCTTGGCCTTTTCAGCATCCTTCAGAGCCATACCTTCCTTGCGTTTCTTCAACTTTTGTTTGTAAGCGGCCAATCGTTCTTGCATCTGTGCCTCGGCATCAGAGATTGCAGAGGCAGCCTTTGTCTCAGTCTCCATCTTGCCAACTGCTTTCCATTTGGTTTTTGGTTGCTTGCTGCTGAGTGGGAAGAGGGTTGAATGAAAAGCCATGTTGTGATCAGGACCAGGAAGGATCTGGCAACAGCGGTACCTGGTACCACCAGTACCAGTCTACAGTTCCACAAAAGATCGAGCCATGACTGCAAGAGAATAGACACCAGATTAAAGATAGATGCGGTAAATCAAATTGAGCAGTACAGTAAATTTAGAACAAGCAGCCGGAGGCTGATGCCCTCAACTGTCAAAAAGAGATTTGATTGGTCAAATCATTTACCGTGTTCAACTGGACACACTATTGATAGCAAGTCTCCATAGCCAGCCAGTACGGGCACAGTAACAGTGGTATCGGTACCCATGGGTCCAGAGTACTGTGTCCACCAGAACACACAATATAAATCCCTATCCTTAACAAGGAAAATGTCCCTTATGTCTTTGGCAAAACCTCCACCGTGTTTATCTGGACACACTAGCGAGTCTGCATAGCCAGCCAGTACTGGTACCATGCGTAGAAACTACTGTGTCCAACAAACACACAAGATTAATCCCTATCCTTAACGAGCGACGAAAACAGCTCCAACAAACACAACACACAAACACAAACACACACACACACACACACACACACACACACACACACACCACACCACAACACACACACACCACACATCCAGCCCATCGAGTATTGGATTACGGTTTAGTTTGCTTGGTTTTCGGTCTATACCGTACCCTCCTATGTGTCTATTTTCGAAACACCACAAACAGGGTACCCTTGCTTTTCTCACAGCCTACCCGGCTTGATCTTTTGCCATCCCCAGCTTGCTCACTGATGAAGCAAACAGGAAATTCCTAAGCTCAGATTTGGAAATCAGCAAGCAACGGTATACCCCATGGATAAACATCCAATGGTAGATTCGTCGTAGATTAACTCCTAGTAGTGTCTACACACATTCAACATCATCAACTCTACACATCACACTCACACACACACACATCACACACACGTACACACACTACACACACATTCTCGTGTTGAGAAAGGATCTGTCGTCCCAGAACCACCACCAAAAATCGCCATTTCAGCCCCTTCGAAACACCAACGAAGGCGCACCACTTTGAAGGTCTGAACCTGACTCAAGAGCACTCATTATATCAAGGATATCTCCAGTTGGTTCCCTTCGAACCACCAACAAAGCATCATTGTCGCCGAGTCGATCCACCCATAGGAGCGATCGAAAAGAGGTACGAAAAAGATACGCCAAGGTAGCACACTTGCTCTGGATACGAATCGAATCGATCAGGATCAAATCGAACTGATCGCGCGAATCGAATCGAGACGCACCTCTACGTACGTCACTCGAAACACGTACGTCACTCGGAACACGTTCCTCGGAATTCCGTGGAAGCACGACTGAACACCTTGGGTTTTAAGAAAATACGTATCTTCGCTCGAGAGCTCCGAACGCTCCGTTTTCGAAGAGTGCTTTACCAACACAAATATACCAACCAAGGATAGCCACACTATAAAGGCAACCAACCAACACGGTTACAGACAACAATATCATATCAATAGTAACAATAGAACACATGCCTGAGGCAAGAATTGAGAGAGTTCCCATCCTTCGCAATGGTGGTCGTGGCAGAGGCCGCGGCCGCCGCAACTCCAATGGCGGCAACACCAGCGCCAACCGGATACAACAACCAGCGCGAAGATGATGGCTCCCCAGCAGGAAACGAACTGCCTTTGATCCATCCGCGATCAATCCTCAGACATACCATCCCGATGCAACACAAAAGGAATCACGAGTGGCCCAACTACAAGCCGCCCTGAATTTCCTACATGGCACCACTCGACGCTCCATGAGGCATACCACTACCGTCAACAAAGTAGGAGAGGAATTTATCAAAGCCTTTGCGGCACACACAGCGCAACAAGGACACTCTTCGACGGTATGATTGATGGCACAACCAAACCGGGGAATTACCCCGTCCCGGATTCCGAAATCAGTCGATATCAAATTCGAACTGAAGGCTGGCAACACCACAATGGAGAGCGATGCGAGCTTCCAAGCTCTCCAACAAGAATCCACAAAAGCTGTTGAACTCTACAAACAAACCAAGCAAAAATTCTCATCCGAAAGAAAAAACTGGACGTCCAATATGCTCAAAAAGGCCGTAGCCGAGTCCCTTGCTAGAGGCCTTCTGCCCCTCGCCAATGGCCACAAGGTATCTGCGGCAGAGAGAATCTCAATGGCCATGCAATCGTCAACACCATCCTGGAGGAAACCACGAGGTGTTGCTCAAACACACTGGCATTGACCTAGCATCATTTAGAACAATATACATTAACGTCCAAGGTTTGCAACCCTGCCTGATCCATTACCAGTAGTTGACACTCAGCAACAGCTCAGCCACCTGTGGCACTGACTCAGCCAACAACACATCTGCGCCTGCTCCAGGCACATAGCAGAACCCCCGGCTCCCCACCTG